CTGACAAACAGGTTTTCATCCCACGCCTTACACAGAGTCCCCACAACTCCCCATATTACCGTGTAAAAACTAAACATCCATCGGGTTTTGTGGTGACTTTCCATGGAGTTTTGGGTGTCTTTTTCACTCTGGTGTGATGAATCCAAGCGTTCTGTTCCTTGATTCTGATTGCAGTAAAGGAGGTGAGTAGTACTTGGAATGGTCCTTCCCACTGTGGTTCCAGGGTTTTTTCTGTAAGAGACTTTACATATACATAATCCCCAGGTTGTATATTATGTACAGGTCCATCTAAACCTCTCCCTCGAGTCCCAGCCACATGTTTCCTGATTTTATTGAGCTGTTTACTTAATGCTATCATGTAAGAGGTCACAATTTCGTCCCCAGCTTGTACAGACACCCCTTTCTGTATTTCATAGGGTCTTCCATATAACATTTCAAAGGGGCTCAGTCCTTCTTTCGCCCTTGGTCTTGTTCGTATACGCAGAAGGGCTAAAGGGAGAGACTGAGGCCATGTTAGATTTGCTTCTTGTCCCAATTTTACAATTTGTTGTTTGATTAAGTGGGTCATTTTTTTTCCACTTGACCACTTGACTGGGGGTGATAAGGAGTATGAAGTTGCCAATCAAGCAACTGGCGGCTAATTTGTTGTACTATTTTTGAGACAAAATATGGTCCTCTGTCAGAGGACATGGTTGCTGGAACCCCGAAACGTGGTATTATTTCTTGCACTAATATTTTAGTTACCTCCCGGGCTTTAGCCGTTCTTGTTGGGAATGCTTCTGGCCAACCTGAAAAGGTATCAGTTAAAACCAATAAATATCGATACCCCCCTTTTCTTGGAAGTTCTGTAAAATCAATTTGCCATTGTTGTCCAGGCCCATTGCCTTTTCCAATCTGGCCCATTTCCGGCTTGGGGGTATTCTTAGGATTAGTCTGGAGGCAAAGATCGCATTGTTGAGTCACCTGTCTCACTGTGGTATATAAATTTTTAGCCACAATTTCTCTTATTAAATGTTTATACAGAGCCTCTGTCCCCCAATGTCTTTTCCTATGCTCTTCCCGTATCATATGTCACAGTAAGCAAGAGGGAATGATTAGTTTTCCCTGTGGGGTATGAGCCCACCCTTCTTCATTATATGACCCTTCTAAATCTGTAATAAGTTTCTGATCTTCCTTGGTATATTCTGGCTTACCTTTTAGGGAGATTTGTCTATCAGGAATTAAAGCCCCTTCTATTTTTACCTTTGTTTTGGCCACTTGTTTTGCCTCTCTGTCCGCCAGCTCATTCCCTTTTTCCAAATCTGAGCTCACTTTCTGGTGTGCCTTAATATGCATAATTGCTACTTTCTTAGGGAGCTGGACAGCTTCCAGTAACTTCAGAATTTCTTCTGCGTGTTTGATATTTTTCCCTTGAGAACTCAATAGTCCTCTCTCCTTCCAAATTGCTCCATGTGCGTGTACAACTCCAAAGGCATATTTTGAGTCTGTATAAATGTTCACAACTTTGCCCTGGGCCAATTCCAGGGCGCGGGTTAGAGCAATTATTTCTGCCTTCTGTGCGGAGGTGTTCATGGGTAAAGCTCCTGATTCTGTCACCTCTTGGCTGGTGGTGATGGTGTATCCCACATGTCGATTACCATTTAGGATGTAACTGCTTCCATCTGTGAACCACGTTTCCCTGTTTTCCATGGGGCTGTCTTTCAGGTCTGGGCAGCTTGCGTATGTTGCTTCGATGGTTTCCAAACAGTCATGATGTACCGGTTCTCCTGTGTTCCCGCTGAGAAAAGAAGCTGGGTTGACAATGTTAGTGACTATAATCTCCACGTCATCCTGCTTTACCAATATAGCTTGATACCTCAGGAATATTTGTGGAGAGAGCCAGTGTCCACCTTTTGCTTCCAGTACTGCTGATACTGTGTGAGACACCAGAACAGTCATTTTCTGGCCCAGAGTAAACTTTCGGGCTTCCTGTATATTCAGTATCATGGCCGCAACCGCCCGCAGGCATCCAGGCCAACCTTTTGCAGTCGTGTCTAACTGCTTAGAGAGGTAGGCAACTGCCCGTCGATATGGGCCCAGGTTTTGTGCTAATATTCCCAGGGCAATGCCCTGCTTCTCGTGGGAGTAAAGAAGAAACGGCTTACTCACATCTGGGAGTCCTAAGGCCGGGGCCGACATCAAAGCCTTTTTCAGTAGCTCAAAGGCTCGTTCGGTCTCCTTGTTCCACCCAAGGTGTTTCTGCTCAGTGGCTGTTAGTGCATACAGTGGTTTAACAAGCAATCCATAATTATAGATCCACAATCGGCACCACCCTGTCATTCCCAGAAAAGTCCGTAACTCTTTTACTGTCTGAGGTCTCTGAGTTAGGCATATTGCCTCTTTACGGGCTTGTCCCAAAGTTCTTTGTCCCGCACTGATTTCATAGCCCAAATAATTCACTTTGCGTTGCATTACCTGTACCTTTTTCTTGGATACCCGGTACCCTTGAAGTCCCAGGAAATTCAACAGAATCACCGTCCACGTCATACAATCTTTCTCTGTCTTGGTGGCAATCAGGATATCATCCACATACTGCAACAGCTTCCCTTCCTCAGACGGGGTTTCCCAGGATTCTAAGTCTTTTGCAAGCTGATTGCCAAAAATGGTAGGACTATTCTTAAATCCTTGTGGCAACACTGTCCAAGTGAGCTGGGTCTTTCAACCACTCTTGGGGTTTTCCCATTCAAATGCAAATAATTTTTGGCTGGTCTCATGGAGAGGGAGGCAAAAGAAAGCATCCTTCAAATCTAAAACAGTAAACCAAGTCAATTCAGGTGTTAATACGGTCAACAGGGTATATGGGTTTGAGACTACCGGGTAAAGATCTTCAGTTATCTTATTCACCGCCCGGAAGTCTTGGACCACCCGATATGACCCATCGGGCTTCCAAACAGGTAATATAGGGGTATTGAATTCAGACTCACACTCTTTTAGTAATCCCAACTGCAAAAATTTTTCTATCACCGGCTGGATTCCTTCTCTGTCTTCCTTCTTTAGGGGATACTGTTTCATCCTTACCGGCTTTCGGCCTTCCTTGATCCTAACTTCAACAGGTGGAGCACTTTTCGCTCTTCCAGGTGCATCGGTAGCCCATACCCCCGGGTACACTTGGTTTAAGATGTCCTCGTTAATATTTCCTTCTAGGGGGAGACTGGTTAAGGTTAGGCTCAATATTTGAATATATTGCTGATCTTTTACCTCCAGAATAATTTCTCCCTTTTCAAATACAATTTTTGCTTCCAATTGTTCCAACAAGTCCCTTCCCAAAAGTGCCTTTGGGGAGTTGGGCATATATAAAAATTTATGAATGCCCCACTGTTTTCCTAATTTATATTCTAAAGGTTTACAAAAATATGCCTTTTCACTTTGGCCAGTCGCTCCTTTCACCATGACATAATCATCTCCCAGGGGCATCAAAGCTTGGTTCAGAACCGAGTATGTTGCCCCCGTATCTACCAAGAATTCTATTTCTTGTTGTGTTTTCCCTAGCTTAATTATAACCAGTGGATCCGCTAGGGTAGATTCCCCAGGTTCCCGTCAATCTCCCTTCACATGGGCTACTGTTCTTCCTGTTTGAGCCCTCTGATCCTCCTTGTTCCTTGGGCATTCCCTTTTCCAATGACCGAATTTCTTACACAAAGCGCATTGATCCTTGCCCAGTCGGGGCAAGTCTCATCTAGGCCCTCTTCCTCTTTCTTCCTGAATAACAGCCATTAATTTCCTTTGCCCTTGCCTATATCCTTCTTCTCTGTTACTAAATACTCTCCATGCTTCATCCAACAATATTTCTAAATTCCTACTCTCTGTAGGGCGTAATTTCTGAAGTTTGCACCTTATATCCCCTGTAGATTGACCCAAAAACAGGGAAACCAATTGTTGTACTCCTACCTCTGACCCAGGATCCAGCGGTGTGTTGCGGCGCATTACATCCCTCAGTCGATCCAGGAATTCAGATGGAGACTCAGAAGGACTCTGTTTGACTGCATATAAAGCTGACCAATTTATAGTTTTGGGGATTGCCCTCTCCATTCCTTTTGTAATCCAATCCTGATATCCCTGCAATCTTTCCATATGTGCAGATCTATTAACATCCCACTTTGGGTCTTGGAGAGGGAAATATTCTTTAACGTCCCCTCCTGTGATCTTATAATGATCTTCAGCTAGGTTCTCTGCTGTTTTTAAAATCAGCTGTTTCTCTGTTTCGGTCATATATTCTAATAATAGCTGTATATCCTTCCAAACAGGGTTATGCTGTTTTACAATAAATTGGAAATGTTTAGTTACACTTACCGGATCACTCTTATCATCTTTAGCAACCTTTTTCCATTCCCCTAGGTCAGCAGTAGAAAAGGGTACTTTGATTAACATCGTCCCACCATCCGGCCTCACCGCCTCTCGGAGAGGTGCTTGTAAAGCTGTTGAGGTAGTTTTCTTCCTAGTACGGGAAGATACAGGGCTGTCCAGGGGGGTTGGAGTTCTATCCGAGTCTTCATCCTGTTCCTGTGGTCAAGGGGGAGGCTTAAACAAATCAGTTAGATCTTGTTCTGGTACCTGATGAAATTTTATTTGTCTCTGTACATCTTTGTCCAATACTACATGCCGAACAACACCGCCTCAGTTTACCTCTAAGCTCCTTGTTGTTCTCTCACTCAAGTGCAAGCACCATGGGGTCCTGTGGGGGTACTATTCCACAGTCCCTTTGCCACTCCGGATGGTTTCGGAGGGTGAAAAACATGTCTGCATACGAAA